CTTTCGGAATGACTTGTCTGGTCTGACGCTTTAGAGAGCCTAAGGCTATCTGAAAACTGGCTGGCGAGGGGAAGTGGCCTGATGAGCTGTGCTATTAGCCATGGCCAGATGCAGGTGTAACGTTACTTAGGTTGGAAAAGGGAACATCTAACTGGTTTAGAAAGTCACGTGGTTTCTGTGCCCAATCGATCTCTAGCACCTAATATGGCTTTGTCGAAGCTAAGTGTACTTCGTTAGGGCAAGTGGGGACCCACCCGGCACTCCAACTCTCTCTCATGTTTTCTTTCCAGCTAGACCAGGATTGTTTTCAGTAAAACATTTCGGTGAGGTTCCTGGGACATCTGCAAATGAACAGCACGTACGGTACATGCACTCATGCACAAAATAATACACAGCTCGTCTGCAGAACGTGAGCTGCTTCTCAAGTACCTGCACATAGGGAAACATGAGTCACAAACCTGTCGAGTTAGTTGACACTGGTCCTTTGCATAATTACTACCACTAAGTAATTTTAAGACCATTACCATCGAAGATATTTTTCTCGCCTCATTCTCTGCATGGATGTAGTAGGCTCGAGACAGTGTGCATGTACATGCACTTTTAACATGTACAGAATCACTGGCGTTGTCATGGGCGTCAGAGGCAGTGGTTGCTGATCCAGGGAGTAAACAAAAGTCAAGGTATCGGGTTGGTTATTCGTTATTATAAAGGGATATTCCCTTCAATCTGGGATCGCTGAGTGCCCAGCGGGAACTGACTTCAGCCTAAACTTGACACACCAAGCGGTGTTTATGGAAACACGCAATGGGGACAGTTGGGGAAGACTGGGATGACTGGGGAATGGTGTACAAAACAAGCTTGCCATGATTCACCTGTCGCAGATATGAAAAGGAAGACTTGAACTGTAAGTGACTTTCAAAACCTCGAGAGGAGAGAGGAGGCAAAGTCATATCAAGTAGTGTGCAATTTGTCCTGCACTCCGTGCGGATCTGACCAGCAGTCGGTACGAACCAATGCTGTTACAGACGGGCTACAAACCGTGAACCAAGCCGATCCACTGGCACCAACGCAACCCACTGGTGATATGCAGGTTATATCCCACCCTGCTCGAGACAGCGGCGGCGAAGAGGAATCAGGTGATATGGACATGCCACCGCCTTCCGCACCACCAACACCTCCGGCTCCAATACCTCCTCCACCAAATTGTCTTATTCGCGACAAGTGGCCCTATTCATTTCCAGCCGAGCCACCAGTCTTCGACGACGACTATAGTGGGTCTCGTCCATATTCCACCTGTGAACCGGCTACTATACATGACTCAAACTTGTGTAAGTACATACAGTCAACTTCGTTTATAACGACATTCGGCGGGGCATCAAAAAAGTGTCCTTATTCGCGAAGTGTCGTTATACCCGAAGTCTTATTATATGTATTACAGTTGGATGGAACTTTGTTCTGGGCATGGAAATTCTGTCGTTATTCGCGAATTGTCGTTATATCCGCAGTCGTTATTAGCGAAGTTGACTGGACACGTCAGACAGTGTACACGTGCAATGATTGTACTCAATCCATCCAGTCTTGTCACTTGCAGCACTCTCATTATTGCCTTGCACGCAATGGAAACAGTGGGACTTATAGCGTAGCCCCTGGTGGATAATACCGGCAGAAAAATTGGCAGACAATTGGGTACTTTTCTCCATGTACCGGTATGTTTCATGCACTTTTGGTATGTGGATAAAGGAATGGAGCAGAATTCAAGGAAGTGCCTGCCATGAGGGTTGTGTGGGTCTGCCATTTTCACTGCTTTTCGAGCAGAATCTGCCAATTGTTTTCCACCATTATCCACTTAGGGCTGGTGAGACCCCGTTGGTGCATCTGAGAGCCTATTCGTGGGATAAAGAAAATGAAGGAGTGGAGGTGTTTTCGAGTGAAAGGAACCCGCATTGGCATTGAGGTCCCATATATCCAGATAGGTGCACAATCATGTAAATTGTAAAGCGCCCACACTCCATTCTTGTACACGACTATGCAGTCTGCCAGGTGTTACTGTTACCGGCAGGGCCGTCGTCGTCGTCCCTCGGAGAACGGGAACAAAGCTCAATATAGTCTACTAGTACTAGTACTAGTGCTGTTACTTTGTAGGCGGTCTAGCTACGCAGTCTGTACAATGTAGATTGGTCTCTAGCTCTGTGCGTCTACCATGGTCTACGTACAAACACCGCTCCCTCTCCTGGTAGGAATGCATTCCTACCAGGATGCCTGACTCGACACTGCTGCAGTGCTGGCTGGCACCGAAGTGCAGGCGCCATCCGGACCGAAGTGCAGGGAGCGGTGTTTGTGGTGATGAAAGAAGGAAGCGGGAAGTGTGATATCAGTACTCCACGGCATGAGGCACAACACTTTATTCATAATAATTATGGTGGTAAACCATGGTAAACACGCACCTAGTGCCTGGCAATATGGCGGTAAAAACACAACAACAGGAAGAAAGGAGATAAATGGCTGTAATTACAGTCTGGTATCATAAATGGCTGTAAATACAGCATGAGGCATGGCATGAGGCTTGATGTACAGACTGTCACTGTGTCAGTACTTCCTCATTATAAATTTTGTAAAAAAAATACCGCTGAGCTGCTTATGCGCCTGGTCAATCATCTAGACTAGAGAGTCTACTCAGTCTGTACTAAGTTAAGTAGATCTACTACAGTACTAGGCCGATTTTTCGGCCGATGCTCGCGCTCCGCCACCAACTCCGACATGAAATCGGCCAACTGGGTCGGACTACCTCTATGTATACACTGGACTCAGCACCCGGGCCCGAAGACCGTAGACTAGTACAACTGGTGAAAATTTGATTTTAGGCCCTGAAATCAAATTTTCAATTAATTTATTTAGGGTATACTTCCCCTTTTAATAATCTTTGTTTCAGGATTACCCAAAGGCTGTATCCTCTCCTATTTGTGTATTGTACAACTCAAGACAAGTTATCAATCGTGAGTCCGTCAAGTGTCAGTTGTCAGGAAACGTTAGCTCTGCGTTGAAATAGCCAATTTTGTTCAGGTTGTTGCGCCTGACAGATGAACAGTTACACTATTGAGTATTGTAATAATTATCGTGTTTAGGAGCCCGGCGATATTATACACACTACATGTCATGGGTGTACTGGTATGTACGGGTCCGTTGCAGATGAGACACCGGATCCACTTCCGAATCCACCGTCATCACCGCCAACAGCATCAAATCGTAGCGTTCAGAGTCAGAGCAGCATTTCGAGTACAAAGCCTCTGCAGTACGATGAACCACTCGAGAATGGTGACGGCGGCTACAAAAAGAAGAGAAAGAGGAAAGGGCGATGGCGCTGTGCAGCGCTGGGTTGCTGTTGTGGACTGTGCCTGGGTTGCGAGAAGGTGAGCTCCGCAATCACTCTCGGTTGGGCCCTCCTTGGAATGGCGATAGTCGGCAGTGGAGGGTACCTTATCAACCAGTTCGTTCTCAATGGCTCAGGTAAGCGGCTGCATTTGTTGCGGCAAAACATTAGACATGGTCTTTCTGTTGATCACCCGAGAACACCCATATACACTCATACATCGGTTATCTGGACCCCAAAGCTGTGGGCACTTCGGTCTACCGGCTAGTACTGGGCATCATTTAGGAGAGTTTCAGAGGAAATATTACTACTCTTTTGTCACTTTTGTGGAAACAGTGACGTCACATGCCATATCCATGCTCCTACCTCATCAAGATGTACGTGATTCGCAGTTACAGACATTTTCACAATTACGGGCAGTGCCTTGTCCCGCACCGCCCGGATAAGCGAGGTGTGAGTGTAGTCGACTCCACGTATAACAAACCCGTGCATTTTAGCAAATTTCCAAGATACTGTTGAGTCAGAATGGTCAACAGTTAGTACAGTAATGTCTGATATGTTACTGACATTCAACGATCTATAGGCTACGGAAAACGTGTAACCTTATTGGTCCTTTCGTTTTAATTTAAAATCCTCGGCTCTCCATCCAATGGTTTAACGCAGAGATTCACTCCAGCCATTGCAATGTGTCCTGTGTTCCTCCTGTGCATCTGCAGGTAACCATGGGAACAGTGTGAACCCAGCTCCTGCCTTCAATCCACCCGGACCTGGTTTGGTGGTGGTACCCGAGGGTCGGAATTGTCATCCGGGAATACTTCACTCGAACGTCACAGATGCTGCGTTGAGCAATCTGGTGGATGCAACGCTACACCTTGATGGCATTAGAAACAATGATGAAAGTCTGAGCGTGTCTCCTTCATTTTTATCCATATTTAAGCAAACAGCGGAGGGTACAGGATTTGCGGAATACCGACTGAACGTGAACGGATTATCGTTGGAGGAAGCTAGTCTTGCAATTCAGGATGTCATGTACTGTAATGATGACGATGAACCGCTGCTGGGAACGCGCAATGTGTCCGCGATTGTGTGCTCTAGAGTGGAAGGTAATGATGCTGTTGAGTGTTCTGAACCACTGGTTACGCTGGTCGACATTGAGCCAGTCAACGACAATGCACCTATGATCGACGCTGTCGTGATGAGGTGTATACCTGATTCTGCAAGTGGCTTCACCATACCCAGTCCTCTTTCCGCATCAGACGCGGACAGCGTGAATCAGGAACAGTCCCTCAGGTACTTCTTTGTTTGTCCCAACAACGACTCTATGGAAAATGAAAACGGCACGGAATTCATGGTCCCGGCAGCTGAAAACTCTACGTATGTAATTCGCTCGGAATGCAATGGAATCATGCTGAATGAAACAACAGGCAGAGTCAGTGTGGTTGGTCAGCCACTCTGCCAGCTTCAACCTTGCTACCCGAACGACACCGTTGCCATTCCCTTTGTAGTGACCGATGGAATGTTCAACACCTCTGCCATCCTGCACTTGACTATTGTGGAACAGAATCGTAATTCTACCGAGATTGTGCTAACATCAAATGGCCTGTCTGTTTCTAAGCAAAATCCTGCTACCGAAACATTTGCAGAGGATACACCCGCAGGAACAACTATACTTGCGTTAACTGTTGATGATGGAGACACTGGTTGTCCAACAATTGATAACGATGGAGACGAGCTCAGGTATTCCCTTCAACAGGATTCTCCACCTTTGTTTGATATTGATAACGAGGGCGTCATTACCCTGGTCGCTAGTCTGGACTTTGAAACAGAAACTATGCATACAGTCACTGTGTTTGTCAACGACACTGGAACACCACCCCATAGCGCATCATTTTCTCTAACTGTGAACATCTTCAATGTCAACGATAATGCCCCTGTTTTTAGTCCAGATTCGTATACAGCCACTGTCAGTGAGGCAACTGCACTTGCGGATGTATTGGTTTTCACAGCTACTGATCCAGATGGTACACTCAAAGATCTGATATTCAGTCTCCAAGGCGAACCAACGAGTGTGTCTGTGGACCCAGTTACTGGTGTTCTGTCAATTATTGATACCAACCTGGACTTTGAAACTGATGCTGTTATCACATTCACAGCATTCGTGAACGATTCAATGTTCACTGATACTGCTTCAGTTACATTGAATTTACTGGACCTGAATGATAATGTTCCAATGCTGCGAAACATTATGAATAACACATATACAATCCAGGACAGACCCATTGATTTGCAGCCCAATGCTATTGTTGTGGATAATGATATAATTCACCCTATTGATCGACTTACCATTGATCTTCCAGGAACTTCTGCTGTTACACAGCGCTTGGCTTCTCCACTTCCATGTGACTGCACAGCCTCACCACTCGGCACATGTCCCAATGTCACTGCTCTCAATCTACTGACACTGATGACAGGCCCAGTTCCTGTTGACAATGGTATTGCTACTTTCAATGGACTAGCTAATAAAGTCAGTTTGGCTGAAGTACAGGCCAGCCTTGTGGAGGGCTTTGTACTCTCCGCTTGCATTAGGATCAACACAACCGAATTTGGCTACCTGCTAACTATTCTGGATGATTCTGGTAATGTTGCCTTCGCTGTGGAACCAAGACCAACTGGAGCTATTGCGGTCTCATATAGAGTTGACGGTGCGAGGCAAACCTTTGAAGTTGTCCATCCATCTGCCGACTTGTTTGATGGGCTTTGGCACAACTTTGCACTCGAATTGCGATTCCCCCAACTTCGTCTTCACGTCGACAATGTACAACAGACTCCATTCGTACTTCTTCCTTCTCAACGACCCGATGGCTTACCAAATAATCATAGTGGTCTGGCCATTGGTTGCCATAATGCACAGTGCTTCCGAGGACAAGTGCGAGCTCTGGTTTTCAGAGTGGGAATCACAAACTTGTTGCACTTTGCAGATACTCCAGGATCATTTGATGGAACATCTTTCTCGTTTGGTGGAATTTTGGGCGATGAGAGACGAGTAGCTGAGGTTCACAGGCCTGGTATTCGTACCAACACAGATAGTTTTGAAGTTCATGTTGAATTTGAACTTGGCTTTGCAATGGGTGCTACAGGTACAGGTGGTGCGCTTGTTAGTTCAGGAAGTGCATTTACGTGGGGATATGGTGTGACAGTTTCAGCGGCCGCAGTTGGATGGTTTGGCTCAAGAGCCTGCTTTGAAACTTACCACCGTACTTGTGTTGGGTCATCCAATGGCCAATACCGATCTGGTGGCACCGCTTTTGACTTTGAATCAATGGGAGGTAACGTTCAAACAGGAAGGCATGAGGTCTTAGCTGAGTTCCGACCTGATTCAATCACTGTCACTCTTGATGGAATGCTAATTAGAACATTAAGCCTTTCCCCAGCAAATGCACCATGCTTTGCTAACCCTATTCCATCTGATATTGACTCCCTTCTCCTTGGTGCGCATATGAGACTTGATGCAACTGGCACGGATAATCGCTTCACTGGTGAGATTTTCAAAGCCCTTATCAGGCCAGGAACAACTACTGCAGCAGAGAAGGCTTGCCTCCAGGAAGGCTGTGGCGAGTGCAGATGTGGTGGGCGCTGTGACAATCTGCCAGTTTGTGTTGCAGGTGATCCAACTATTGGCTGTAGATTTGACATTAGTAAGTATGGCAAGTGTGGAATTGATGCCACTGATCTATTGCTTCTAGCCGGTTCGACATGTACTGATGGTGAGCAAATTCTTCAGACAACTGAAACAGGCCCGAACACAACTTTGGATGCTGCGAATACAGATCTTCCATCGGATTTCAGTGAGTTTTCAGTGGCAGCTTACTTTGAAATGGATCCATCTCGTGACAGCGGAGTGATTGTCGTTGTTCCAGGAGTGGTTGCAGTTTCGATTAATAACTTTTATGTCATTGTATCCATCTGCGTTCCCAATGAAGGGAATTTTGTGTATGTACCACTCGAATTTGTCCTGACGTCAACTGTCAATAACAATATTCTACACCACATAGCAGTGAGTGGAGATGCCAACAACATTGTTGTGTTTGTGGATGGTGCCAGTCTTGGTACCCAAGCAAGGCCTGCTAATAGTGGAACAAGTATCACTGGGAGAATCTACTTTGGTTTCTGGCCAACGACAACGCATCCGCGATTCGTTGGTACTTTACGTGCAGTGACTCTAAGTAACAAGCCACTGAGTCAGTTTGATGTCTTGTGTGTGGAAAGCTGCGGCTCTTTCATCACTGTAGCTGACCCTGCTTCTGTCTCTCCCAATATCACCAAGATTGGCAATGGAATGTTCAACACTGCAATTGATCTTGTTGGCAGGGAATTCGATGTTCGTTATGGTTCTGTCCTTCGCACTATGCGATACTACAACTTGTTCTCTGACCCTCGAAAGACATTACCATTTGATCAGTCCCTTCGGATTGCTGTTTTTGATAATGGAGTTTCATCAGCTGTGGAAACATCTATCTCCACAATAACTGTGCAATCCGCTGGTACGCCTGTTATCCGTGCTGGTGATGGGGAGATCGACAATGTTGTTGTTGTTGAAGGTGGAGCTCCAGCACAACTCGTATCTCCTCAAGTTGTAATTCTCTTACCAGTGGTACCTGGTCTTCAAGCCATTGTCATAATCAACAGTATTGAAGGTGGCTGTCCACTAGGAGAAAGTCTATCTTTGGATAACTCCATCAGCAGTACATGTACCAATCTGACTATTGTCAACAGTACTCAGGCAATTCTGTTGTCAGTCGATCCTCTCAACACTCTGAGCAATGCCGTGCGTGCACTCAGGTAAGACCTATTACGTATGGTATTAGGATGCTACTTACTATTGTACATCAAGCAGAGTGTGCAGCTCTGAGTATGCATACTGAAACAGCGGGATTTTGCCTTGCTTAAGTTTTACCTCAACATGACGGAAAAGACGAAAATGACAATTTCTCCTCTACTGTCTCAGGTGCGCACTGGCATTATTTCATTTGCTCTTTATTGAGGTGATATAGGACTTTTTGAGGCTGTGAGAGATGCTGAGTTTGTGGGATAAGATAGCTGAGTGATTGTTTCGCACCAGCTATATTAGGAACGGCCATGCATTGGGATATTGGATGGAGGTGGGGTGACACCTATTGGTTGGAAATGAATGTCAGACAAGCAGATCTGGTAAATTTGTTGCATATACACAAAAAAATCATGGCCGGTAGATCAAGTGAATCCACTGAGAATGTGTTCTCATGAGAGCCACCACGATGAATTGCTCCACTGGGAGTAAAAAAAACTTTAAAAAAGCAAAGTTTAACAATAGCCTTTGACCATCAGCAATCAAGTGCAAATTGTGTAGCAGATAAACAAGTGAGTGAACAAAATATGTGAAAATGCTAAGTGGACTTCTGAACTATACCTCAACTTTTCCTGGTCAGACATAGAGCCAAAAAGAAGTGTGCTGACTAGATCCTGGGGTTCGAACTTTTTTTTATGAAAAATACTCTACTCAATCAAAACAGGTAGCCTTGTATCAACAACTCAACTCCTATACTAAACATCTAATGAATTTTACTTGTACACAGAGGCAGTGCGCCTTAACCTGCAATAGTGCTCAAATGCCCGGAATGGGCAGAGCGTAGTACGCAAGTGGTACACAAAAGGAAGTAAAAGAGGGCTGTTTCGTTGTTACTCGGAGTTTCATGGCAAAACCCAATCATGGCAAAAACCAATCATGTTGTCTGACGATTGGTTTTTGCCAAGAAACTCGGAGTAACAACGAAACAGCCCTATTTTACTTCCTGTTGTATACCTCTTGCGAATTTTACATGTATAATCATTGATTCTCCTCTCCTGGCATGATGTAATCAGTGATCATAGCAACTGCACTGCAGTATAGCACCTTGCTCCAAACTGTACTGTGTCGGTGTCTCTGTAGGTACACATGCACTGTACCGAACATGGTCACCTTCTCCACCATCTTTACGTTGACAATCGACATCTCGGTCCCCGCAGCAGCTTTGGTTGGTGATACAACAAGTGATCCAGCCACCATCAATATTACTTCGGTTGTAAGTTGCTTGTCTGTAGATAAAATAATATTCTATTATAAGGTTCCTCGTTGTTCTGGGGAAGACCTAGACAGTTTTACAGAGAACAATGCTCACACATGAATTTATCGATGATAGGTCAGGGATAAATACCATAATTTATAGCAGGCAGGCATAGTGGGATGGTCTAAGACTATGATTGAGAAACAGAGGGTACCCGGTTCAAGTCCTGCTGGGAAGCGGAAGGAATTTTTCCAGCCGTGCTGCGACCCACAGTTATTTGGGAACTCGTGGCCTGGCACGAGGGTAACATGGATGCAGCAAATGGGATTCGGTCTTTGACCACTTGGTGGTGGGTCTGATCTACTCACCTCCCACCGTTTAGGCGCTGCATCTGCGCCTTGATCCTAGAGGGTGGTGGCGTTCCCACGGCGGATGCGGAAAACTCAGCTTCCAGCCGAATCTCACGCGAACTGTGAAATATATTTTTATTAATTATATTCAATGTCTTGTGACATGGTCATTTTCCCGTCTCTTAGCGACCTGCATACAGGTGCTTCGAAGTATGTAGGTTAAGTGGTAAGAATCTGTCATCTCGCATTATCACAGCCAACAACAAGGGGATAATTGATTCTTGAGTAAGATACCATATTTTTTCAAAGTGTTAGGCACACCGGTGTCTAAGCATCGCCATCCTTTTCGAGGCCAAACTTCGTATTTTGTTTACCTACATTCGGAGTATAAGCCGTACAGCAGACTTTGAATTGTTTGGCCACTATAATTTTAATGGGTACCATTGCATACAAGACGATACCAACGGTTAAAAAGTTGAGAAGATCCACTGAATTAGGAGAAACGGCATCCTATTTTGACATCAACTCAGAATTGACAGCAGGTGTCTAAATTCCTCAGGCTGCATGTATAACCGAAATCATGCAGAAGCTTCCCACTAGTGCAATGATGGATGGCAGTACATGAAAAGTAGTCGAATGATGTCATACATGCATCGTATGGATGGAGCACTGCTGCGCTGGTCGATTCATGTTCAGCATTCAGACCGTCTCGAAGCCGCAGGGGCGTTTTCGAGTGTCTAAAATAAATTAATGTTTATGTATTTTGCAGAGTGGCTAACACTCCGCGGAAAATGCTGCACCTGAAATGTTGGACCCGACACATTTATGTTCAGAGTGTTGAAGGGTTCTGCCTTGTGATAAGGTATTTCTGGGTACATTTTTTTCATGGCGCACATATTCGAGACAAAACACAACACACCATCTGCGAAGGGTTGGAAAAGAATGATGAGAGATTTTTCGTCTTGGAAGCAGGTATTTTTGGCATTCTCGCATGAAACATGACATCTTCTGTTCACACTCTAACCATGAGTATGTAGTACAGCAGTGGAGCAAGGCTAGTCATATTGATGGGCTAGAGGTAAGGAAGTGATCACGTGAGCATGCCGCTGATGAGCTGAATACTGACAGCCTGTTTTATCCCAGCGGGAACCACTTCCATGCACGCTACTTGCAGGGGCTTGGATACTTGCTTAGTAACCTTGCATGTGGACAAACACTGCGGCAGCTACTTTTCAGGTCTCTGGAAACAGCTGTGAATGCGGCCCATGGCTCTTGCTGGCACCTCTCCTTGAGCCCCTTCCGGGCCCCTAGGCCCTCCCTTCACTATACCAAGAGTACATAACCACTGAAGAGTGTGCAATTCGACAATCCCCAAGCCCACGGCAGTTTGTTTTTATGACATCAGTCTTTCGTGGCTATTTGACTCACTAATGCCATCATGCGTAGCCAGAGGTCAGAGAACAAAGAATTTGTGCATCTCAGTTACGGTAGTCGAAGCAGAACAACGGATGATAGATCGATGTGTCCTGATTCCTGAACCCGATGAACTCTCCCAATGTCCACAAAACAAGTGCGGGAAAAATACACCCATCATCATACTGCTTCAAAAGAATGACGCAATAAGAAAATTCCGCCGTGCGTGAACCCATGATGGCATCACAGCTCGAGATAGGAGCTGCACACTATTGGATATGTACTCTTGGTCATACCGGGCCATTGGACCTATTGACCTCACACCCGTCAGACATAATCCGTCGTAGTACTCTGTGCTTTGTAAAACATAATCTTTCTCTTCAGGCCATCATTTGCAACTTCACAACCTTGTTCATAAATAATCAGCAGGATCTCGATGAGAAGATTTCTAACTGTAACACAGTAAGTATGGCATACTGATGAGTATTTAAACTTGCCATGTGGCTTCACAGTATGAAGTATTTCCCTTGCCAGCTGGGTCATGAATACAGCAAGGGGACTTGCTATACAACATCCTGAAACTCACTGCGACAATAGTGTCATCAGACAGGCTGTTGAAAAGTGAAGAAAGTCTGAAGAGAAACTGGCTGATACCAGCAAGACTCAAGCCAGGGACCTTCGCTATAGGCCAACGATGCTCTGACCACTGAGCTATGGTATAGCCATTAGTCTCATCACACCAGCAGACGTCGCTCGACACGCACACTCTCTGCCTCTCTGTCTCTCTCGTCCCTCTCTGCCTCTCTCTCTCTCTTTCTCTTTCTCTTTCTCTCTCTCTCTCTCTCTCTCTCTCTCTCTCTCTCTCTCTCTCTCTCTCTCTCTCTCTCTCTCTCTCTCCTCAACCATTTTACCTCACCGTTTCTTGTCTTTTATCGCACTAATTCACCCACTTCTTGTAGGCTATGGTACGACTGGGAGAGATACGCACGTCCACGCGTTTTAGTTGTATATCCACTATTCCTGTCATGTCTACGTTTCCCGCTTCATGTTTCATCATGGCAACCGACCAAAAACTCCTTATGTGGACGTAGACAAATCTCTGCTTGTCCTTTGTGCTCACTTTTGGTATGCATGTCATTTAATTAACCCGGTAGATCCTTGGCTCAGTGACCATTAGGTGCCTTGGAGAAATTGGCAACTGCACAATTACGAGCCTCGCGCCTTTCCGCAATGTTTCTGTAAGTACGCCATTGTCTGTATGCGTGTGTGTGTATGTGTACGTGTGTGCATGTGTGTGTACGTGCGTGCGCGCATGGGTGTGGACATTCGTGCGTGCATGAACGCATGTGTGTGTACGTGCGTGTGTGCGCGCATGTGTGTGTGTGTTTGGGGCGGGGGGGGGGGTTGGCGTATGGACTTGGCTCACCTTTTCTGGAATCCAAGAATATATCAAATGCACTTAGGACAGGAATGATTGTAATTTGTTTCAATATTTTCAATAACATGTGTGAATTAGTCTCAGTGGGCCTATACTTGTCTTTCATATCATTCTGTGGTGGTGTTGAATTGTCCTGTGTGCCAGGAAATTGATTCACTGACAATAGTGGACACACCCATCACATCGCTGAATGGCCTGCAGAACGTGTGCAGATTGGATGAGCTGATACTTTCTGACAATGGGCTGCTAGTGTCAACAGTCGACTTGTTCAGCCACCTGCCCATTGACCACCCGGTTACGATGTCACGACTAATTGTAACTCGAAACAATCAGCTCAATAACTTGACCGGTCTCAGTCAAGTGCGCAGCGTAATGGGTAAGTGCATGTACTATAAAAGGCATAGTCCAGTTTCATTTTAGAAGTTGATTTCTCGATTTCAAGACAATGGTAGGTCTTAGACTCAGAGAAAACCTCCCGTCCAAGAATGAATGTCCAGAAGCGATCAAGTCGAGCGGGAAGACGACTTTTGAACTATGCCGAGCGAGGGCTGGATGAAGCCATACGTGCTTAGTATGCCAACTAAGATGCACCAGCGCCCATACGCTCGTTGCAGAATTTTCAAGCACAGACTAACTGAACATTACGATTTCACAAAATTAAAACTATTTTAAAAATGTTTAAAAAACTCATCTTGAGGGGCAATCGTACACACAGAACATGCCACAGTCACAGACACGCTGGTAAGCAAGCAGTAAGTGCAGCATGATACTAAGTCTTAGTACTAATAGGTGACCGGGGTTATTGCATGATGCGGCTTGCAAAGCAAATTGTTGCCTGTGCTGAGTGTTCTGTAGCGGTTTGCAACCGCACTACACCAGTGCATTGCACTGTTATGTGACAAGTCCTCGGCTTCTCACAAATGTTTTTTTTCTTGTTAGTGTGTGTGTCAATAGGGAATTCCCGTATTCCTGGATTGGTTCGCATTGCAGTGTGACGCGCCGGCATGTTGACCTTTGTTCTCCTGCTGTCTTTCCATGCAGGCGACCTGTCAATCCAAGAACTTCCAGGTGTGATGGACTTGGCAGGACTTGCGGGTTTGGTGCACGCAGGTCAAGCGTCGTTTAGCTTCATGCCACAGTTACAATCACTACGTGGTCTGGACAGTTTTAAGACTGCCGTTACCCTGAGGATAGGTTTTAATCCGGTAAGAGCATTGGAAATTGTACATAACAGGGCCCTAGCACTCGATCCGCATTTTTAAAATGTTGACCAACCCAACTCGTGCAAAACTGGAGGTTTCAGGAATAAAAGCCATTTCCGGTCAAGTGTCCCATTTGACCGCACCATCTGAAATCCAAGTGCTGCAGACCTGCATATGGTACACAACATGTACGTAACCCCGGTCGTTGTACATGGACCCTTTGGTGAAGGACTCCGCTTGTAGTTGTAGTGTACCAGAGTGTGAGCCTGCGGCATCATGCTACACCACACTAAACTACACTGGATTAGACTGCATGCATCCTCCACTGGGTCTATACGAGTGCATCAGAAGAACAAAAATTCGGTTTCAGGTAGTTGCCGTCACTATTGTTGGATGCCATGCAATGGTTGTATATGTTGGTTTCCTTTCTACAGGTTATGCTATCGTTGGACGGCATTGAGTCCCTGGAAAATGTGACAGAATTCTTGACCGTTACTGGAAACGATGTTTTGGTGAGCCTTCAGGGTTTAAGAAATGTGGCCTTCAAAAGCCAATTTCGAGTTACCATCGAAGACTTCTGCCCCATTCCTGCTAACTCCCTGCCTCCCGGGCAGCCGCTTGTTAATGCAACATTTTTTGAAAATGTAAGTCGATGAAATTGCGCGTGTGTGTGTGTGTGTGTCTGTCTGTCTGTGTCTGCCTGTGTCCACATGGCATTTTGTATGGGCATAAGGACGAACAGCGATGCAAAATTCACCGACTACGACTTAAAAAACCACCGCAACTCGCAGAAAACTGCGTTACATAAAGCCATTCTAGCTCGTGCTGTCAAGTAGTTTCATGTATGGTTGTAAGCATAAACTTTGGACCATGCCATGTGAAACTCTGCCGTCGCAGCACTGGATAGAGATTGTACAAGCGGTTGCGGTATTTTCCGGTTTTAAAACGACCTAACCATAGACTATTTCCCAGTTCAAAGGCAGTTATACCCCACCTGTAAGTTGACTAACTTTTTTTGGTTTGGTTTTTAGCAAAAGTTGTAGATACGCACACACTTTTGGAGCAATCAATACCGTTAGTACACTAGCAGTGGGCCTTACCTCTCCTTCCACATCCCGAAGTACAATGGCAATTCGCTGAGAAATGGATTTTCATATACACAAAACGAGTTAGGCCATATTGGTCTTTCCCAGTGGAAATTGCAGAAGAATTTCTCTGAAAATTTTGACTGCAAATGAAATTCGGCGTAAAATCAAGAAAATCGCGACAAATTGCGATGAAACCTAAAAAATTATAGCAAAGAAAAAGGACCAAGGAACTACAACGACCATCTGAGTCCAAACATAAAAAAATGATTGGCATTCGAATGATTCAACAGAACATGATGCTAATGTTCACATTACAACCTGCTTGATGTCTGGATTCCAATTTTCTCTATTTTTTTCTTTTCTTTTCCTTTCCACTTACCCCGTTATCGGCCCTCTTAAGAGTTGTGTGTATCACTGTTGAGGCATCCGATGGTAAATAAAATAAATACTACTACTACTACTACTACTACTACTACAACACAGAACCATTGTGTTATCAAGAGTACATGTATCAACTGATGACTGATGATTCCCTGCATCATGCCCAGACTTGTGAATTTCTCTCGCACCAGGCCGCGAACCGTACAGCACTGTGAAGGTGCTGGAGGCGTGGTCGCCTGGCTCTGACAGCTGCGCATTACATTCTACTGTCCCTAGCAGGGAGGCACAGTTGAACCAGGCAGGCACAGTGGGTTGGTCAAAGACCATGATTGAGATACGAGAGGTACCTGGTTCAAGTCCTGCCTGGGAGCGGTTTTTCCAGCCGTGCTGCTACCCACAGTCAACTGGGAACTTGTGGCCAGGCACAAGGGGTACATAGATGCAGCTAATGGGGTCGTTTTCGGCACTTGTGCCAGTGGTTGTGAGACTTGCCCACTCACCCCCACCGTTAGGCGCTGCATCTGCCGCTAGGGTTTATCGGGTGTTAGCGGCCGTCGTGAGTTCCCTTCGGGAACGGATACGATAATTTACTTTTTTTACTTTTTAGCAGGGAGTAATAAAATACTGGTATTTTATTACTCCCCGATCTCTACAGGGACATTTAGCAGCCCTTCAATGCCCCAATAGCAGACCTTCCAGAAGATCACGGTGGATTTGGACAAAACACGATGTCTTACAAGACGTGAGAAAATGGCGGATTTTCTAGCGGCCGCAGGATTGCGATATTCCACGGGGACAGTCCAGTGAGATAATGGGGCACATGATTATATTCACTGCTTGAATTCAACCGGAGTTCATATCTGATTGCTGCTGCTGGGATTTGGACAGTGACCCAATTTTCTCTGTTATCTCTCTGCTTGTGCGCAGCTCCCAACGCTATCAAGCACCGTGCAGTGTACAGTGGAGCAGCGAACCGGGTGTCCAAAATAGCTCTGAATTCTGCCAGCGGGACTAACTTATTGGCAGGAGTGTGACTCGAGATAGATAACTAGAGTAATGTGGCGACTCTGGCTGCACATCACCATCATTACACGGCGAATCAAGCTAGGCACATTTAAATTAATTCAATTCACAATTATCCACAGACCAAGCACCTAGACGGTACATGTATATCCTATATTCCTATCCATTAAGCACACTGTGTGCTGTGCATTCGTTGACATTATTTTATCATCCACTTTATTATTATTATTATTATTATGGAACTGCCAGTAATATAAAATTCTTATAAGTCCATCATGATTAGACTCGACCAGACCACACATGGGTTGCAAAGGATTGTTGTCAGAGTAAGAAAGCGTGGATTTGAGCTAGCCAGTCCATCCTCCGAAATGCGTTTTCAAACTTTTCATGCTTTTCTTAAAATATTTGTATTATTTTAAAAGTGTATTCTAGCCACTTGAATAGTCTTTCAGTAAGATGCCATGACAGTCCATTGTGTATAATCCAGTAAAATGAAACATGATTCAATAGGATAGATGTGGAAAAATCAATCTGGAAATCGTTCACCCCAGACGCCGACCACCCTCACCTCAGCAACTCTACGTTTATAGCTTGCTGAGGCTAAAAACTGCACACCTGAACTGACTTGTGATTGGTCCCGTTCCGTCCGCCACGAGTGGTGACTTGTCTTCGCACCTACAATTCTGATCAAAAGTGACCAGTGGTGGAGATCGAGAGGGGTGGGGTTGGCGCAGTCCCACAAAAAAACTGGAATTAACCAACGGCCGAGTTACAATTTTCCATGGGGACAGTTACTTTGACAGATGTAAAATACAGTCAGCCTGGTCAGCCTGACGACCTGGACCTGGGGTACAACAACTCATGACCTGGGGTACAACTCATGACCTGGGGTACAACAACTCACAACACAACTACTGGTACATTGTACAGTCATGGTATTAGATAAACCTTGTTTTGTTGAAAACATCTTGTTGGTTGACCATGTTGACAGCATGGTACAAGTCGGAGGACCACTGTGTGCGGAAACAGTGACCTTACTACAACCCGTACACGGTTGGCAGAGCCCCGGTCTTGCGACCATCTGAACCGTGTGGGTGTTAGCCCTGGTTCTGACACTCATTAGACTAGGGAGTTATTTGAGTCTTCTTGTTATTGTAATGTCAGTCGTGTATTCTTTGTTCGATCCTGGATGTCTTCTTGAATCATCTTGATACTTCGTCCTTACACAGACAGAAGAACGAGCAGTTGTTTTTCGTAACTCTGAGTTTCACGAACTGAATCGATCATCAGACGAAAATAGATACTGGCCCTGCCCTGAGAGTACGTGCTATACAGCTGTACTGCATGAATGTGGCAAGCCCAGCATAACAATTACCATGTGATATGTAGCGCGATATGGAGTGTGTGTGAAAGTGTTAGTTATCTGTGCATTGCTAAGCAACATATTCTCGTGGAATCAGGTAACAAAGCTGGCAACAATTGATGTCGCGTAACTGCAGAGAGAAAGTGCTAGTTTTCTGTGTGTTATTAAAAGCGATATTCTCTTAGAATCAGGTGACACAATTTGACAAGTAGTAATTATTTGTTCTCCTGGCGGCATTTACACACAAGCTCGGGTCGCTTGTTAAGGAATCAGGTTTTACCGTATTATCTCTAATATAAGCACAGTCTCCAATAATAGCACGTCTCCAATAATAGAACACCTTGGGGCGGCATTCAAAAAATAAAGTGCTCAGTCTCCATTATAAGCACACTGTGTAAATTCATTATCTGTACCGGCGAAAAAAACCCTGAAATGTGTGTCTCATACATGAATTTGGCATGGCAACATGCTTCTGAAATGAGGTTGAAATAATAATGGAACAGTCTCCAATAAAGGAACGTCTCCATTAATAGCACCTGGCGGAGGTACATTGAAAAAATTAATTAAGGACCGTGCTTATATTAGAGATAATACGGTATCTGCACGGAGACAATACCGCTGCTTAGGCACTGCCCTTTGATGGGGCAGTCGGGCTTGCTGCGGCAGTTGCACGTCTTGGTCTCTGCCGGCTGCGGGCCATTGCTGTTCTCCCTCGAAATAAAAATTCTGTTATTGGGGCCACGGATAATGGATTGCATGTTCGGTATCGTCGAATAGCTTACCTTGACGTTGTTCCTATTGAACATCTTGTAGATTGGCGACTTCTTTGGAAAGTGCCTGTCAACCATAACCAACGCCCTTCAGGAAGCAACGTGCCACATCAGTAGACACAATATTATTATTAT